ATATATTACATATTATTTATCTTTCATCATTGATCAAAAATTTAGATTTTTTATTAATTTTAAATTAATATTAAAAATGGCATCGAACCAGAACTATACGATATCAAGATCATTCTGTTTTTTATTATCTTTGTATTGGAATGACGCGCCATCTGGTGTACAAAAAAATAAATACACTTTTATAAATGGATGACATATTATTTTGATTTGACTTGAAAATATTACTATTTAAAGATTTAATAAATTTTTTTAATTAGGACCGACTTCTTTTAATGAAAATCCTCATATTATTCGTTATTACGCAAATGTACGCAAATGCAATAGCCAATCGTATTTTGCTAAAAAAAAAAAAAAAAAAAAAAACAAAAAAAAAGGAAAAGAGAGGCAGAATATGATATACCATTGTCTTTTACTTCTTTTTCTTCTAGAGTTTTATAATTCTACATTTAGTTATAGGTTCAATAAATTTTATATATATTAATTTTTTTGTCGATGAAACTAACGTAATACAGTGTGAATGAAGCTTAAAGAAACTAAGCGCGACAGCAGACAATACGAAAAAAAAATCTAGTCAGTAATATTATGACGTGATGACATTTGAAAGTTTGGTTGATCATTAAATTGTCATTGAACACCGTTGATCGTTGAATAATATTCATATCATTTCAATTTTAAATTGCTTTTGATTGTATCAAATTAATTCACGTCCTAATGTATTACATTTGACTCATAAAACGACATTGATAATGACAGTAACAATCGTCATTATGTATTAAAATTATTAAATTCAATGCAATGTTTAAATTAATATTTTTGTTATAATCATACAATGCATCCAAGTGATTAAGAAAAAAATTATACATGACTTCTGCCGAATATTTTATTAGTTTGATAACAGTGGCAAGTGCAAAAAAATTAGCTACAGCACTTGTCGTTTGTTTTATACTTTACCATGGCGTTATGCATCTTATTTACGGTAATATCTTTATTTACTTTATTATTATTCTATTTTAAAGATATATGTTTAAAAGAGATATATATTTTTTTTTTAAAATATCAGAAATATAGCCATCAAAAATTTCATTATTTTATATCCTTTATGGAAGTGTCTTTGAAAATAGACATTTTATCTTTCTGTCCTTAAGGTAGCGATTCCTGTAGATGGTTACTAACAGAAGGAAGATATAAAGGAGACAAAGAATGGCAACCTTATGGTTGTATGATGCATCATTATACACAAACGTAAGAATGTAATATCTATTATTGTTTTATATTTCTAATTATATATTAATGAAAATATATAATTTTTATAGAGATAGTAGGAGATGTATGAGATATTTGGCTTTTATGGGTCATCACAATCATTTTGTATTTACCGGCGATGCTAGAATAAGGCAAATTTATAAATCTTTTGTATCTCAATTCGTAGTCGATGGAAAAGCATCTGATCTCACTGAATTACCAGAAAATTCAGATTTAAGTTTTAACGATGCACAATTAAAATTACACATGCAGTTCCTATGGAGACCCAAGTTGGATAATACTATGATAGAAGACTTCAGACATTGGATGGTATAACGTGTATATATTACAATATGTCCATGATTAGAAATATTTAAATAGTATCATATACTGATCATATACTCTTACAGAATGGTGAAACGCCTAGTTTAATTATTGCAGGCTGTGCAGCTGCTGATATTCTTGCAAATAATATTAGTGAAACACAATTATACTCGGATTATAGTATGGGTCTTGTGAGACTAGTACAGCCAGCAGATATCTTAGCTAAGAAAGAATCACAAGTATTGTGGATGATGCAAGATCCTGTGGTAAAAGAAAGATTGCCAGCTCAATTATCAGTGATAGATAATACACAAATTAATTTGTGTAATAAAGCAGCTATAGAAGTAAGAAATTTTGAAAATTATAAATATAATATTAAATATTTTACCATTGCTGACAATCAATTATATATTTTGTAGATTTTAACTCATAGTAATGTACGCATATGGGAGAGTAGTAGACTTGTTGGGGCAGGTGTATTGGAACAAAGTCCAGATGGATACTTAGCTAGCCCATTATCATTACGTCATAAAGTTCAAATATTACTGAACACGTATTGTAACAATCATATGAATTTTGATGATGGCAGTTGTTGTAGCTATCCAGAATCAGCTACGACTTTGCAATTATTGACTTTATCCATTCTAGCACTATGGTAAGTATTAATATTTTCCTCGTATTTTTACACCGTATAACTTAAAATCTGTTATAGTATAATAATTGGTGGGAGTGTTTGGTTGTACAGAAGATTCTGCCAACATCGATCAGAAGTTTCATACATTAGTGTAGATACAGAAGAAACCAAAGATACGGAACAAACAGAATCTTCTGATATTGTACAAATAGAGCAACCTCAAGTGCAAGACTTTTATAGCTTAAGCACATCTTTGGCTATTTTATCTATTATATTAGCATACTTTTATTTGTGTGACAGGTATATTTATAATTATATAATGTTTCTATTTAGACTTAATTTTAAAACTGTTCTCTTTTATTTTCTTTTTTTACATTATATTCAGAACAAATTTCTTCATGAAGGAGAATAAATACTACAGTGAATTTAGCTTTTGGCTCCCTCTTGGATATATCTTAGCTCTTGGATTATTTTTTACCGAGCATTGTGAAAGGGGACCAAATGCATTAAATAGGGAGCAAACAGATGAATGGAGAGGTTTAATGCAAGCAGTAGTGCTTATATATCATGTTACTGGTGCCAAAAACGTTTTACCAATTTATATGTACTTAAGATTAATTAATTCTGCATATTTATTTCTTTCTGGATATGGACATTTTTGTTATTTTTGGCAAACGGGTGATGTTTCTCTCATCAGATTCGCCAAGGTAAATAAATACTTTTAATTACAATCTATATTATATACATTATTCATTATGTATATCAAAGAAAGTAACTTCTGACACTAATTATTTATTTATATTTTTTTTTGTTTTCAGGTCATGTTCAGATATAATTTATTAACTGTAACATTATGTCTATGTATGAATAGACCTTATCAATTTTATCATTTTGTACCATTGGTTTCATTTTGGTTTTTGGTTATTTATTTTTTGGCATGGCTACCTCCTAGAGTATATTCTGGAAGTTTGGCCGAATATGGTCCAAGAACATTACTTTATCTTGCCTTAAAATTATTGGGTTTAGTATCAATAATTACCGTATTATATATGTCAGAGGTAAGAATGCATTTTACTTTAAAAGTTTTATATGATTAATTTAAATTTAATTATACAATATATTATTAAAGAAATATTCCTTATATATAATTACTATTGTAAATTCAGGTGTTTTTTGAGAAAGTATTTGTTACACGACCTTGGAAAGCATTATTCGTTACGACTGACGATGATATACGAGAATGGTGGTCGAGATGGCGAGTCGATAGATATAGTGTTGTATGGGGTGTTACATTTGGTGCTGCTCTTGTAGCTTTACAAAGAATAGATCATATACCAGGAACAGCATTATCCTCAGTATTGGCACTGATTTCTTTAATAGCTTATACTACTTTTACAATATTATGCTATTCGGTATCTGAGTGCGAAGAAATACATTCTTATGTGGCCTTTATACCTGTAATATCACATATACTTTAAATTTCTTTAATTATAATCGTATCTATTGTTCATATACATTTACATACATATTAATTTTATTTATAGATTGTAGGCTATATTGTACTTCGAAATGCTTCACTAGCACTACGTGGAAAACATTCCGTCCTACTAGCTGGATTGGGTAGGATTAGCTTGGAAACATTAGTTGGTCAAGGTCACATATGGTTAGCTGCAGATTCACATGGTGTATTAGTATTACTACCTAGGTTTCCAGTATTAAATCTTTTAATTACTTCATTTATCTTCATATGTGCAAGTCATGAAGTAAGTAAAAAACTTCTTTACTATATAAGTATTTCTACATGTGTTACAGAATTTATTATACCTTATCTTTTCTATTGACAGATACATAGATTGACGATTATGTTGGTACCATATGCGGTACCAAATGACTGGAGATTAGTAGCTCGGAACTTATTATTATTTATTGCTGTATTAGTACCTATTGGAATACACGATGGAATGTTCTGAATGCAATACATTTTACTTTCCATGAACATTTCGAATTATTCAGTATCTGAGTACAAATTCGAATCTTAAACAATGGGTAATACATAGTTAATTTATCTATTTAAAATATTACATTATGATATAATGTATTATATAAAACATTTCAACTGCTATATTTTAAGAGAGAGAGAGAGAGAGCGAAAAAAAAAGAAACAGAGGAATTTGGAAAGAAACAAATTATTTAATTTATTCACACTTTTATTTATGTGTATTTTCCACATATATAAACTTTTTTATATGATTTCTTTTATTTTTTACATAATTCGAAAATTTTTGTTACTATATATTGCATTACTTCTTTATCGAAGTTAGTAAAGTATTCTTAAATAAGTGTTGAATAAAGATAATTATCAAATCATAATAAATAAGAAAAAACATATGAGAACTTATTATTTTTGTGTAGAATCTCATTTTGTGGTTTTTTCTTCTTTTTCTTTCTTTTTTTCCATTTTGCCCATATATAAAAAGCCTTGTATTTTAATTTTGATATGGAAGAAAAAATATAAAATTAAAGGAATTTATTTGTAATAATGTTACATGAAATGGTATTGAACAAGTATAACTATTCATTGTGAAGTAAACATTCATGCATTCCATTTTTGTTAATCGAGTTATGAAATCTTAAATTATGCTATTGAAATTAAAATAAATAATATTCCATTTAAAAATACCAAAAAAGAAATTAAGTTTATAAAAGATAAAAATAAATGATCTTTCTACTTTTATCAAATTGTATACCTAGAAATTATAAGAATATGTTCTCGTAATATGTTTACTCTTGTTGATTACGATTTAGATATACTACTTTGGATGACACTTATCTAAAAAATCTTATACATCAATTTAAGATAAGATAATACAATACTAGTCCTATTGCCAAACTCATTATGGAAACTTATTATGCAAAGTTATCACTTCAATAGAGACATTTCTAACCAAGACAACATTTTTTTTTTCTTTTCTTTTTTTACATTTGCCACAATATTGTTATGTGTAAAACAATTATTAAAATTATTTACAAATCAATTATGTTAAAATTTTATGTTGTCATGTTTTACATGACTCGTATAAATGTCATAACCAAGAGATATAATATTATCATATAAAACTCTGTATTTAGTTGGAAGAAAATAGAAGTTAATGATCTGTGCTGGTGGCCATATTACCCATTCCGCTAAATACAATCTATGTGCCTTATTTACTACCTCATTTTTTAATTCTGACAAATTGCTTCTTTCTAATAATCCTAATGTTAAAAAAAACATGCCTATACAAAGTGGTGAACAAACAAACTGATCAATAATTACTTTTTTTAGTACAATTTTACTAGTGCGTCCAGATAACTTGGAATCTATGTATCTGTACCAATAATGGCAAACTATACCAATGGACATGCCACTCACGGCCATATTCCTTGTTCTGCTTGGACTCCATTTTTCCCATTCACCCTAAAAGTAAAGTATAAGCTCTGTGTAAAATAAAATTCAAAACTCTTAGGTGACTGTATCAAATGTAGTAAACCTTTATTATTTCATAGTGTTGTTCTATGATATCTCCTACAGCTGAAAGAGAGATTGATATGGCTACATTGGTGTATAATAAATTTTTCGATGAAAATAATTGTTCTTTTATAGCGTTTACTTTATAGAGCCATCCGGCTCCTCTCACAATGTTCAGTTTCTGGAATCATTGAATCTTTAAATTTTTAAGATTCATTCAAGATGAATTTTTAATGATTCTTATATTTGTACATACCATTTTTCAATAAGAGTTAAATCTCATAATGAGTATAGGATTTGTAGTAACAAAAGAAATCATTGTCTAGATTACAATTTGTAGGTTAAATTATAAATCGAAATACAAATAATGCTCCATTTTTTTTGCGTATAATAAATAAATATTACAATTGAAATAACATTTGAAAAAGATATTATTATTAGAAAATAAAATTAACTTCTCGAATGTAACTACTGACACGTGACAGTGTCGTAATAAAAGATATAATAAAACACATTGCGTTTATTTTACGATATATCATTCACGTGATAAGAAAAGTTCTGTAGCTATTATAAAACTTAAAAGAGTAGTTTATTTATACAACAATTTTATTACTTTTATAGAATAATCGCACACATCCAATTAATAATGAATTGATCAAATCGAGCAATGAAATTAACTTGCTGTATTTCCTCTTCCTCCGTAGTAACGACAATTATTAGAAGTTTGCGATATTTGATCCAAAATATCTGCTATATTGACGTACGATATGAAGAGTGCAACGATGTACGATCGGACACATAATTAAAAAAAAAAAAAATAATTGAGTTGAAAAAACGTTTATAAATTAACTCTTTTGTATGAAATACTAATTAAATATAAAAATAAATATTTATACAATAATAGATCGTTACATTTGCTTTGTAGATCGCGCCATCTTTGTTACCTATCGATATGGCAGGAATTATCGATTCGCGATAAACAATGATCGATGGCGACATCTTGTGACAGGAAGTAAATATCGAATACAAATGCATCTGTGATATTACGAAAGGATTATTGTTTATTTCATTTGGTTTATTTTCATAGAGTTTTGCCTAAATTTATACAAAAATATATTCTATATTACAAAACATTTAAATACATTGTGTCTATATATTGATGGATACACACTGATGGATACAAATGACGTAAGTAAAAATATGATATTTAAAAAAATACATCGAGATCGATAAAAACATTTTAAACGTATTAAATACGGATTGATATAACGTATCATTTTTTAAATTCATATTTTTCCAATGAAAATTATTAGATCGATAAGAAAAATTTTACATACGTACCTTTTATAATCCTATTGTAAAAGTAAAAAAAGATATAATTGATTTATTAAAGAATCGACATTTAAAAGGCATACGAAATTTCTGATAAATAGAATTAAGAAAGTTTTATACATACGTAGGATTTGAAATAAGAAAAAGAAACGTCTCTATTCCAAAGTAGAAAGTGTAATAAATTCTGATTTTCAACAAGAACATTATATAGGTTAAAGTTACAAATCTTTATATAATCTTATAATTATAAAGTCACTTTGAAATCATATTATATCTTCTAACCTAACCCTCAATATATTTTCCATTTTTTAAATTACGTATTTAATTTGTATACATTAGCGTTACATGCATACCATATACGTATATATTGTTAAAATAAATTATCATGCCCTAATAACATTTATAAATTACGAATAATCGAGTATTATCTTTGGGGGCAATTAAATGAACTGTAGCCGCATAAAGGTTGAAATAAGTTAACAAAACTGAACATTTCTTTTGGACTTACAATAACGATTTACAGATGATCGTATTTTAATTAGGAAAAAAAAAAGAAGGTAATAAAAAGAAAGAAAGATTAATTCGGATCACCGAAAAACATTACTCTTTCTCTCTCTCTCTCTCTCTCTCTCCCTCCCCATCTCTCTCAGTGCCAGTTTCGGATATTTGTCAAATATTTTGAAACAATGTTAAAATGGAATAATCGTAGAAATCTCTATAAAACGCTAAAATTTAATAGCCTCTATTGAAATTACGCGAGGCTCCATCGTAAGAGACCTGTGCGCTAAAACCATGTTTCCAATCAGCCGTGTATCGTACAATTTGCATTCTGCCATCCGGAAGTTGCACGCGATATTCACCACGTACGATATCCCCGTCGCTGATGGCATTGTGAGAATAATCATTCCCGAAGGCGTCCTCTTTTACTGCATAGTTAAAATCGAAAGGCATACCGGGCTCATGGTGATGATGATCGTGCTGTAATTTAGTAGCATTGCATTAATTATTCTCCATGAAAAAAAAAAGAAAGAAAACTCATTATTAATATTTATAATTAAAAAAAAAAAATATATATATATAAAAGAATAGAGCAATTAAATAATTAATAAGATAAAATGAAAATTTAAAGGAAAATAATATATATATAAAAGAATAAAGAAATAAATCTTTATTGAAGTTAACAGTTATGAAAGAATTAAAATTTGTTACATAAAAAAAAAAAAAAGAAAAAAACCAAAAGATAAAAGATATTATTTCGTTCTAATAACTTTTCACTTACTCCAGGACCTACTGTATTCCCATTATTACCCGGTTCTGGAAATATTGGAGTTGGTCTTGGTCCTGGTGGTGGATATCCATTTGGAGGTCTCGTTGGATATTTTCCCGGTGGTTTTGTTACAGGAATGGGATATGGTCTACTTGGTGTCGGAGGGACATTGGGTCTCGTCGGTATCGTGTTAAAGGGTGGATTTGTTCTCGTTGGCGGAAATGTTGGCGTTGGTCGGGTAGGAAAGGTTGGAGTCTTTGTAAATGGTATCGGTGGCTTCTCATATGAGTAACCTTTCGTTGATTCAGGCGGTAAATAAGTATTACGCCTTGTACCCGGTGGTAAGTCGCATATTACATTGGTTATTGATAACCAAAGTAACGTTATCTGTGAAAATAATTTTCTATTTAATACATACAGACATATATATATATATATATATATATATATATATATATGTCTGTATGTATTAAATAGAAAATTATTAAATTATTAAATTATTAAATTATTAAAATATATATATATATATATATATATATTTATATTTATATGTATGTTAGTATAGTAATTTGATATCTATGCATCGTACATGTATATATATATATATCAAACAATATCTAAGAGTAATGAGATATAGATACACATTTAATGTAATAAAAAGCGATTAAGTGATAAATAGGGAAAAAAAACAAAAAGAAAAGAAAAAAGTAAAAACGGATAATAATGTGATGTGAAAAGAGAGTGAAATGCGAAAGCATAAAGCGATAATACGTAATAAATAATAATTGCTCTTGGCGTAATATGACATGAAACGCCTATTAGAAGATCGATGCTCCACTTTCGTAATTAAACTCGACAGTGTCATCGTTAAAAAAAATATCCATACGTAACTCTACCTCTGTTATAGAAATAATGATGTATCGTATCGTAATAATAACATTAGTTGCTTTTCTTATTATTATTATCATTAATACAGATCTCGATTATTTTATTACTCTTACCTATAATCCATATAACCGTTCGTATTCTCATAAATTATAAATGCACGAATAAAGAAAGATTCATTGGTATTATTTATTTAGAATAAAAATATTGATCTATGTAAAACACGGTGTTAGAATTATTTATTATCTTTATCAATTGGAGACATTTTTTTTTGTTTTTATCTTACGTCCTAACCAATAGTAATCGTCAAAAAGTTATCATACCTGAAGATAATACATCTTTCGATGCCACGACGTCAGTTTTGAATTGATGACTACCTTGAAAAAATGATGACACAAATACTTGGGACAAGTATTAAATGATCCTAGTAGATAGTGGCAACTAAGTTAATGAGAAAAGTAATTAATAATCATTTATATTTCGAGTGGTATAATTTTATAATTGTAAAGAAAATCGATAATTGTCTTCTAAACAAGATAAGTAGAATAAGACCTTCGATAAATATTCATTCATTATATGAATCTTTTGAAGATTCCCAACTAAATATCACCGTAGTGAATATCTAAATGATTGTATAAATTGTATTTTTATCTTTTATCGATCGATAGATCGATCGATCACGTTGACTTTTTATTGTCGATCCTGTGAATTCCACTTTTTCTCACTTTGTCGATTAATTCGTCGATTTATTAATCGCATTAAGAATTAAATGCGTACACTCTCGGAAGAAGAAAAAAATGCGAATTAAAAAAAAAAGAATAAATAAATAAAAAAAAAAAAAGAAAAAAGAGGGAACGAAAACAAGATTAATTATTCTAATTAGATCACTATATGTCACCTAAAGAGTCACAGCTCGGTAATTCACGATATGGCTAATGTTGATATGGAAAAAAAAATAAAACTAAAAAGAAAAAAGGAAAAAGAACGTAATGGAGATAAAAAATAAAATAAAATAAAACAAAATAAAAAAAAGAAAGTCAAACGGCACGATCAATCCCACGTATGCGTATAAGCTAAAGGGCGCACTTGAATAATAAATCCAAAAACTTCGGAAAACACTCGTGCCAACGATTCAAACTTCGAACGAAGTAATCAATCGATCAATCAATCAATCATACTCGGAGGTCTTATTCGACTTTAAAATCTCTCTCTCTCTCCCTCTCTCTCTCTCTCTCTCTCTCTCTCTCTCTCTCTCTCTCTCTCTCTCTCTCTCTCTCTCTCTCTCTCTCTCTCTCTTTCTCTCGCTCTCTTTCTCTTTTGAATACGATGCGATGCTCTTACGGTAGGAATTCCTTTAGGTCACAGATACGATTACGATTTACACTTGTGCAATATAAGTGTATTGTTACAGTCCGGGCACGGCTGCGAATAGAGTCAGCATATAACTGGCCGGTATGCTGGTGCATTGCGTTTATATAGCGTGGGTCTAATAAGATGTTTCTTAGACGTGATGGAAAGAGAAGAGAGGCCCACGCAAGAAGGGGCACCTCCCTTGGCTCTTGCTATGTCTTACCTTGTCTTAGAACCTGGCAGAGATCGGACTTGCGAGAGGGCAAGTCGTGCCGGTTGGTGCGCTTCTGCAATCAAACGTGAGACAGTAGTGGTAGTTTAGATTGCGACCACGCCGAAGTCAAACTAAAATCGGTGAATGGCAGCGATACTTCTTTCTAGTTGTCATACAACAACTCGACGACGGAAGATAGCCTCGGTATGAGGTTTCGATAATCACGTAATATTTGCTTAAGATTGCTCTTAACAGTTTTTATGATTAACGAACGGGTTCTCTTTTCCAACACCTTTTCAATACAGGTAGCATCTACGTTGATTTTACTTGAGGTACTCTATCGTCTGGTTACCACGGTATTCGCGTTACTATATCAATATTTTATGTCCTATAAGACTGGTACTTTAGCATCTTAGGATAACACGATCTAATGATGATACGTAAGATTAAAGGCTTATTATAGGTCAACTTGATTTATACAACCGGTTAATCTAACGTTGCCATTAAGGAAACACTTTCAGAAATTTCTTGTTTTAAAAACATTTACATAGATAATATATATATATATATAAATATATATAAATATATATATATATATTTTGTGTGGACAAAGAAATTTGCGATTTTCCTTGTCAATCGAAGGAAAACAAGTTGTATCCAGTTGATTATTTAAGAAAATCCATTTCATTTATTACGTGTGTTATGTATATTTACACTTATGTGATACTATATGTAAATATGTAGGTGCGCCTTGAAATTATTTCTGGAGAAGCTAAGAGAGATCAGATTAAACGATTTTCTTCAGGTCTTACATATACAAAACGCGTAAAGGAAGAGCGAAGACATTAAACCGCATACTGAAGGTAGCAAATGATCGCAAATGCCTCGTCTAGCAGCTCTGAGGTATTTCCAAGCGGTCGCACTTCTACATATTCAACTTTATATACAGGACGCGTAGCGCCGTTGCCGGTAGTAGAACGCTTTTGTTTGGATGAATATTTTTCTTAAATTGCAACTAGCTAAGTTACTGCAAGTCAAATTTCGCAACCGTTTAAATGTAATATACATTTAAATTACTCTATGTCTACGTTAACGTAAAGCTAATTATATAGGAAATATTCTTCGAACGAGAAATTTTCTTTATATTTATAAAAATATCAAATATATCGATATATCGACAAATGCCTCGACAAGAATACATGTTTGCGTTGATATATAACTATCTCAAAAAAAAAGAAAATAATAAAATAAAATAAAATAAAATAAAATAAAAAACACATGCAAATAAGATTACAATGTAAATGTGATTTATAATGCGTAAATCTTAATTAATATTTAGCGTATACATGTAAGAACAAACGTTAATTCTCGTTCAGATCTCACGTCGCGTTTGCATCATTAAGTCTCTGTCTTGGTTTCCAGTTCGACCCTTTCCCACACTATACTTGCGCTAGAAAATAAGTCTCCAATTCTTATACATGGAATAATCTCAGATTTTATAAGACTAAAGTCACAAGCACAGGCGTTGTTGCTCTTGGAAAGGTCAACAATAGAATGCTATACTTACACAAGAGATCCCAAAAAAAAAAAAAGATAAGACGATCGTTCTAAGTTTTAAATGGATCCTTCGGTCATCCACCCCTTGTATCGTTCCAACGACATTTACATCTATTCTATTGATTCTATCGACTTATATACGAGAATAGAATTTTATGTACACCTAGAATTCATCTTGTTAATATGATTTTTATAACAACTCGATATAAAGTAATTTTTTTATTTCGATTTATAAAAAGGATCCATAAAAGAGTCAATTTATTTGATTCGAATTACTAAAAATCTAGAAAATATGTACTATGATAATATATTTGATATCTTATAATCCGCGTATGTTCATGTTAAAAAGGTACAATTTTTCTTTTTTCTTTTTCGTTTTTTTTTCCATAGGAAGTTTCATATTGTAAATCAAACTGATCTCGAAGCATTTTGATATTTGCAGGAAGGCAGGCCTTCTACGTTTACGCTTGTGGTACATGGAAAAGAAGCGTTCTTTCACGCGGATCAAAGGAGGACTTTAAAGATCAAGGTTCGTTGAAACAGATTCTATCTGATCTCAAAGTGCGTGACATTAACACCTAGCTTCTGGGGATGGTAAAGTACTATATCGTTAATATCTTTCACCAAAAATTATGATCGAATTTCTTATTTTCATTTAAACGTTGTATTAATAACTTTCGTAACGCATCGTTTCAACCCGTCCTTCCTCAACGCGTCTTATTGTCTGGGACGTCGATCGGGACATTCATGACATTTCATTCTCTTCGATCTTAAACTCTAAGTAAGTCGTAGAAACATTACGTGTAATTTGCATAATCCGTTATGTCCAGGGGGTAGGAGGCAAATATTCATTTATTATTCAATGCGATAAGTTCAAATAACATAAACCCACAAATGTTTCTAACCCGTTCCGTTGATAAATTGCCGTTAAATTTTATGAATTTCTTATCTAATATATCCAAGAATTTACACTCTCTCTTTCTCTCTCTCTCTCCCTTTTCTAATAAATTGCGAGATCAATTTATAACTTAACCGTGATCATGTATAAAGAAACTAATCGATATACAGTGATATTATACACGAACAACCCTATTAATCTCCCAAGTTGTAATTTCAAGAGCAAACAAAAAGTTGATTGATTATCCTTTCCTTTAGAAAATAAATATGTATTCGATTGAAATTATTTATAACTTCGACGACATAGTTTCCTAAGCTAATTTATTCCTGTATGAATGCATTCATATATTAATTAAAAATCATCGATATTTAATTGAAATCATAATGATAATTCCGTAATAAACGTATTATACATAATATATGCATAACATAAAACTGTACGATTATGTTATATGAGAAAAAAGAAAATAATAAATAAATAAATAAATAAAAAAGATAAAAAAAAAAGATATAAAAAGAAAAAATTGATCGATTATATCTTTTAACATAGCTTTATTTTAATCTTTATTTTGTTAACGTTCGCGAAATTACGAATACGTCCTTATAATCTTATTTCTATCCTTTCTCTCCCATTGCACCCATTATTCGAAGCGTTCGTGACATTTCGTTCTCGTAACCTTAAAGTCTCCGCTCCAAGATCGTAGTACGTCTCTTGCGTGGCCCCTATTATGTAAGTGACTGGTCTAAATACGAGGAAAAGAGATGCACCTCGCATCGCGAGATCCGAAGAAGAGGTGCTCGCCTAGACATTCGAAAGGAACATGCTATCCCCATGGTGATGTTGTGATGTAACGTACAGCGAGTTTATATCTAAGAGCCTTCTTTCATTCTTTTTTCACTCCTTCGTACTCGTTGCTCACCTTAATATTCGCTTTAATTTCATAATATACTTATGGTCAGTGTGTAACCAAATGCTAATGATTATTATTACGACATAAATGGTTAGAAAATATATATATATATATATATATATATATATATATATATATATATATTCCAACATAGTGATTGGATTTATATAAATATATCCATGAGCGTTCGTCCATAGATGTTCAAGAAAATATCTCAAAGCTTGTTGAAGTAAGAAGAAAATTTATTACAATAACAATAACAACAACGATAACAATAACAAAATTTCAATCGCTTTGAGTTATCTCTAAAGTGCACGTATACATTTTCTTTTTTTTTTCTTTTCTTTTTCTTTTTTTTTTTTTTACTCGTGACCTTTTAAAATTAAAAAATTCTTCTTCGATATATTTATAGGGTAGGCAATAAAAATCATATGTTGTAAAAAATTGCTACTATGCACCGTTTACGAGATAATCACAATTTCGATAAAACATTCGTCGAATTACATAATATTTTGAAGTTGGTTACGACGAACAGGATCACTGACCTCTAACTCGTCAAAATGCATGACTGCATGATTTGTAAATGATGTATTTGTATAGAATGAAGTATGAATTACAGTACAGTATGCATCTGTTAGTCAATCGTTAAGATGCCGATTATCTCCCTAACGATCCATAGTAGTAATTTTTTATTAGATATGATTTCGATTGCAAATGATCGCTACTATATAAATACTATATAAATAAATGATCGCTATTATGTAAAAAAAAATTATAGGTATTCATGCAAAGAAAAAGAAAAGAAAAAAAACTATGTTGACTTTCATAACTCGACAATTTCAACAAATAAAAAATTTCGCAAGATATTTGCTCATCTATAAATAAACATCCTGCATATATATATTATTTTTTTTGTAATAGTGACATTTTGTTATAACGAACTTTTTATTTATAACGGTACTTCTTTTTTTTTTTTTTTTTTTATTCAACCAAATAGTCATGAAAAAAATGATAAAACCAACAATTCTGATTATAAAATATTAAATTGATTCGTAAATATGTGCCATTATAAGAGTAAATAATTTATCACGATATAATTAATACTTTCACATCGAACGTATTAATTATTTATCTATATAATTAATTAACTATTTGCAGCGACTTCAAAAAATATGCGTACGTTTCTTAAAGTTGACAATAAAAAAAAAAAAGAATAAATAAATAAAAGACGAATAGTAAAATACTTTTATTGAATTATATTATTTCTATATAATTCTTGTATCAGCTAAGATAATTCAAATATCTATTACAATCATTATTATCGACATTTCATTATAAATTAAAATATTTTTTGAATAATAATAACACGTTACGAAACGTATTATATTAAATTTTATAAAGAAACTTGGTGCGAGTACTAAAAGGAATATATTTCTTAATTTTCATTGGCTACTAAGACTAATCAAAGCAAATTATTTTCTATTTACGATTCTAAGACACCTCGTGCTTACCTGCTACAAAATTCATTCCATTTTCAACTGTGTACGAATATTTTATCG